TTGATTGATTGATTGATTTAATTTACGTCCATCTTCAGTCTAAGACTATATAGGACGGCTAGACCCTATAGGCACTAGCAGATAACTTTTTATTTTACAAAAATAGATATGTTCGATTTGGGGAAGTGAAAACAAATACTGGGGACCAATGCCCGCTTATTATACGCGTTGCATATAATAAGAAAATATGAATATCAAAAGTTATAAGAGGGTTACCCCTCTACCCTCTCTTTCCTCCACTGCTACTTCTTCCTCTTCCACTACTGCTACTACTTCTTCCTCTTCTACTACTTCTTCCTCTTCCACTACTATTTCTTCCTCTGTTTCTTCTTGTTCAAGAGCTCTTGCTAAGTGCCATGCCCTTGTAGCAATTTTGGTGGTATTGATGAATTTGATAGCTAGTTCAATTCCTACTTTTGTATGTAGTAGGAATTGTATAGTAATCTTGGATAATGGTATATTTTTTAAAATCTCCTTTCTTTCTGTTTTATATATAGAACAACTAATAAGAAGGTGTTGTAGTGCCTCTATATTACCGCATATACATTTGTTATTGGTAAATTTAAAACGATGTAAATAGGATTTAATATATCCATGGCCTATTTTGAGCTGAAAGTACGCGCTAGCAGTGTTTCGACTAGTTCCGCTTGGTAATTTGATTTTAGACCCAATTTTCCATGGAAATAACTTCGAGTATGTGGATGGGGATTGATTTGATCTGAGTTCGTATTTATTGAGAGTGGAAAGCCACTGATCTGAAGTGTATTGTTTGACTATCATACCTAGTAAACCAAAGCTAGTTTCATCTGAGGTAGGTTGTTTTGTGGTTGCTTCTTTTGCTAGCTTATCTGCTAGTTCATTCCCTTTTACTGATGTATGTCCTGGGACCCAATTCAAGGATATTTCTGCTCCTTTTGCTTTAATAGCCTTGGCTGCTTTGATTGCTCGTATTTGATGTGCCTGGCCTGGGTGGTCTGATGGTGTTTTCAAACGGTACAGGCCTGCCTGATTATCTGAATATACTTTGAATTTATCGCCGTGTCGAGCAATTGAGCTTGCATATTCGATGGCTCTAGTAACTCCACAAAGTTCTCCATTATATACTAATTGGTTCACACCAATATTGATTTGCTCTTGATGTGAGATTCGATCGTTTGATTGTATTGCAACTATGCCTACACCAATGCCAATACCTTTTAGCGTAGAAGAGGCATCGGTATATATATAAGTAGTATTCTCATCTCTATGCTTGAAGATTATATTGTGAAGAGTAGCAGCATCTTCTTTTGAAGAATTGCTGATATTAACCCTGAATGGAATTTCCTTTTTCCATGGGGGAAAGTTGAAGTGAATGATCTTTTCTAGTGAGAAAGGGTCGAAGTCCTGATTTATTGATTCTCT